AAAAAGCAGCAATTTAGTTCAATTGGGACTCATCCTCCACTGGCACGCAGGCAAACACTCTCTGCAGAAATACTGTGCCCTTATCTGCAAAGGCAGGAAAACAGATCACACTAGGCGTGACACCGTGTTTCAGGACATCCATTACCGAATGGAACGAAATGGGACCACGTACAAATCACATTCTGGAAGCTCTTCGGCTTGTTCTCCCACGAAACACCCAACCAGTAGATGGGAACCGCCACCAACATCAGAATCACGTTGGAGAGCGACTCACGCGGTTGTTGATAGATCGTCAGCACAAGGATGAAGAGGTCACATATGAGGAAGAGGATGGGGAAGAAAATCGGTAGCTGCACCAATCAAGGCAAAGTGAACCGCATTAGAAACACACCAACCTAACACAAATTTGTGCCTACGTCTTCCACAAAAGTCTTATGCAACCCCAATTCCAAATGCCACCCCAAAGGGTCACAGTAAGGTGAAAAATACAAAAATTACAAAGCACGAAGACAGATGCGAAAACCGCACAAGATGAAGACAAGTGTACCTGGAACGATGTCTTCAGATTGGGCTCCTTGTACCGCATATAGAGGAGGGCGGTCACAGCCAAAGCTGCAATGAAGGAGAACGCAAAGCCCGCCAACTCAATCAACGCAAACAAATCGCTGTAGAATTGGTAGCCAACGGCCAGCACAAGCTGCGGTGAAAAACACAAGAAAGACCAAATCACCACTCGCCAAAGTAATCCAGAAACAGTTGGAAGATATCTTATTCAAGGTAAACGATTGGAGAAATAAGGCTAAAAATTGCCTGTCGCCCTTGACACTTCTATACTGTGCTTTACCATTCCTAACTCAGACAACACTTGACCATGCAAATAGGCACTTCATTTCTTTCAGTCATTCATTGCGCTATGCAGCTACTTACGTTCCAATTGAAAATTGTCCCATTATTTTACTACCTGAAGGACATTAGCTGGTGAACTGCAGTTTCAATAAACAAAAGCAACTCTTCTAGGAAAGGAAATGGTGGAACAGAAAGGTCTTACCAATATCAGAATGGCGGGAATAGGTGTGAAGTTACAGTGGTGGATCATGGCCAGAATGGAGGGCATGTGTCCTTCTCGGGCTCCAGTGTATGTCAAACTTTAAAAACACAAATCAAACAGACAATTACTTGACTCTCAAATCCTACCTCCTACCAGGCCCCCATCACCTGGCGACAAGAAGACAATCAAGAAAGACAACCCACCGAGACATTGACATCGCCTCCCCATTGATGCTTCCAAACACTGACGCACCCACGAACACGGGCATGAGCATGGAAATCCATGGCATCGCACGCTCCGCAAACACCTACAAGTGACGCAATGCCAGTCAGTGTCAAACACAACTTGTCACCGACCTACGACACATGTTGGTGCTAACAAATTTAGTGGACATTCACTTCCGTGTGGCTATGTTCCTATTCAGTTCCACTTTTTCACCACCCTGCATCTTTAAAACACCTTCGCCCCTGCGCTACCCACTACTTTCTTTCATCAGACTACTGCACGGAACCTTCACACCACTTTGTTCGTCTCAACTCACCACGGCGATTGCAGAGGATCCAGAGCCTGTGGCCAGCATTTCGTAGGGGCTGAGCACTGCCAGGTAAGCTATGTTTGTCAGCATGTACAGACCGGTTACCAGGGACAGCGCCATCCCAATCGCCAATGGCAGGTTTCTACAACGGTGCTACCAGCATTAACACCCCATCTCTCCATCTATATCATCCCAAATTGATCTGCTTGGCACTTACCTACCAGGG